TCCTCGCTGTCTCTGTCTGTCTTTCTTTCTCTCCTCCAGTCCAAGAGTGCGCTGACATTTCAATGATTTTTATGTAAGCCGCGGGCAATCGTGGCAAGATCGGCCATCGTGTGAAACATGATCAGGGCACAAGGATCTTTGGCACTTTGGCCAAAAGCTGCGATCAGGAGAGCTGCTTTTCTAGGTCGCCATGCCTTGCTGACGTATGATCTCATAGGTACATGTTGCGAAGCTCTGGCAAAATCTATGATCGTAGGTATACTTGTTGCATACGATTTGAATATTATCCGACTTAGCTCTTCTGAAGTTGGTACATTCTTCATTGGGACCAGGTGTGCACCCACAGTCTTCATGGCCGATCAGTTTCAAGGCACGGGATAGCGCGGATGTGAGCAGCCCTGTTTTTTTGGCACAGCGCTGCCACTGAAAACTGGCTCTGGTCGTCGCGATGGCACCGGTTCGGTACATCCTACAATTGGAATATGCTCCGGCCTCCTGCCCAAACAACATTTTGCAAATCCTTCAGCCCAAGGCACAGACTTTAAGGTGCCTGTCCTTTGGAAGACTTCAGGTGATTTCCGTTGGAGTGAGACGCCCAAACTCTGAAAAGCCTGGATCAAGGGGATGGGCTTGGTGAAACCTCATACATGCACCCTGATGGAATGAAAGCGGGGAAGTCTTGCATTCATCTGGGCCGCCACATACTTGAACCTGCTTGTATCTGCATGCGCTGCACATTGCTACCCATGCTACTCGATTGCTGGCATCATCTCTTGTCTGAGCCTTTGGCATATGCTCGCCTTGCTCTTCATCTTCATCCTGGCACAAGGCTTTAGGGTTTCTCAGTTTGCAGTTTATCGGCCTAAGGAACTACAGATGCAATGGTCCGATTAAGGGGATAGTATCTAGGGATAAATAGGGTTTAGGGATAATGGGGGGTCACAGGGACATGTATTAGAAACCCTAAGTCCCTTCAGCGTAAGACGGAAGAAAGGAAGACTTGATTAGTACCCTACTGGAGAATACATTCTCTGTCACACCCCAATTCCTCGCCCTCATCCCTAAACCCTCAAACTCAAAACCCTGGAGCCCTGAAACCCCCAAAACCTAAAACCCTACAATCCCCAAACCCCTAAACCCCAAAACCAAAAAAAATCCCTGATGGGCCTGATCAGTAAGCCTAGGACGCACGGGCTGCTCTGGTCATGGCCTGAATCTGCCCCACGGCTTAGGGTTGTTTAGAATTTTAGGCTTTTGGGGTTTTGGTGTTGTGGGGTTTTAGGGTTTCGGGGTTTTAGGGTTTAGGTGTTTAGGGTGTACTCTACGGATGATGGACCAGAACACGGAAACTACTGCCAACAGGATGCATGTTGCGTTGCATGTGTTAGGGCTGTGAGGGATACTGGAAAACACCATGGAAAACGACCATTTAGGGTTTAGGGCAGTTTAGGGTGTCTACGGTATACAAGGGTTCTATACGGATATTGAAGCCAACCATGGAGTGTCAAATGGAAAAGAACATCTGGAAGGTTTCAGGCTCTGGAGACACTGTAACTTTCCTCTGGTCAGTAGGGAATGAAGGAATGGAAAAGAATCTAAGTACCCTATCTTGATTTTTATTGGGGGCCATATTAGCGGGTACAAAAAGTATCCATTCCTTCACTCCTTGCTCGCCAAGTAAGCACAAGAATCGCATAAGCAGGAGAAGATATCAACTGGAAACTGCACCATAAACTCGCATCCATTCACCCTACAAGTCCTAAACCCTAAATGCCTCGTACAGTTGCGAAATCTAGGAAATAGGGTAGTATCGAATATGTCTCAAACTTTAGGCGCCTCAAGTTCAACCGGGATTAACAGAACATTTGAGGAAAGCATTCAAGGGACATTGCTGACCTCCGTGTGTGTACTTACATGCTATACTGCATAAATTTTTATATCTATCTAAACATCACTTAGCTATGGGCGTAGTATTTCACAGGCACAGCCAGCTCCTCGATGACAAATGCCTGGCAGTTTCAAGTACTTGTGCTCAATAGGATTCGTATGACCAGCAGTAGGAGAATCAAACTAGATCCGAGATTTTTCAGAGGCAAGACCCAACGTCGAAAACCCACTCCAAACTTTCGAAACCCATTACATCAGGATCATGGCTTGGACCACATTTGACTTTGGCGGGGGACGTGGCGAAGTGAAGGTCGCAAAAACCTCTGCCACATTATCTGTGAATCTTTGGGAAGCACGGTTTAGCGTATATGTAGCGTTTTAGGCTTTAGGGTCAACTTTGGGGAGTTGGTCCAGGCTGGGTGCTTGGCAGGAGTGACTTGGGTCCGAGCTGTTGTCTGGGCATGTCCCCAAGTTGGCAAGAGTTGCCAGCATGCGGAAAGGGAATCGCACATGTAGGAGCTTTCGCGAGGTAACAGGCAGAATAAGCAAAGGCATACTCAAAGGCAAAGATTTTTGCTTCTCCAAGTGCTGTCACAGGCACGGAACCATCATCGCCCTAGTCCTCTTACTGTTCTCAGTACAGGTATTGATATTATCAGACAGACAGACACACACACACAAGACTAGTTGACAAGCATACGGTTTGTTAGGAATTGCACGGTCTGGATATATCTCTGATTGAAGGTTGCCTCCTCTGCTGCTGTGGCAGCTGTCACCGTCGTGGTGTCTACCTGTTGGCCAGGATATAGTGCGCTCCAATATGGAAATCATTACGTGGAACCGGCTAGGTTATTGGTTTTAGAACTTTCTGAAGCATCTGCGCCCATTGGACCACGCATTGAATGTTGCTATGCTCATGCCATGCTTTTCAGTCAGCTTCAAGATGTCATTCCTAATCTGAACCAGCCTGTCACTGGCCGTGACGCGCCTTCTCCTCCGCCATGGTCTCCAGCACTGCACCATGGCCAGCATCTTCCTGACAATCGGTGAGATTTCCCGATTTCCCTAACTCAGAAAATCCTGAACTCATCGCCTATGTCTCTGAATTCCTAGAAGATGTGTCTGCACGCATCTGTTTCAAGCGTCTGGACTTTGGACTGCTAGGAGATCTTTTCAGAAACTAGATTTTTAGTTTGTTGTTCATGCTGCATGACCTTGCGCGGCAAGAACAAAACACTCAGTTAGGAAACACTTAGGCATGTAAAATCGGCACGACAATGGCTGATCGTACCATGTGTCCAACTGGGAGAACATCCTATACAACCCGAACTCAAGATAGATGCCAAAGCAGAGGATTATAGATGCATCCATACTCTTTCGTATGCCGGCAACAACGTACTTATGCAAAGGATATCAAAAAGACTGGGCCTCAGCACAAAACTAGAGACGAGATCCTGTTTCGAAACATACCGCTAGTGGGTTGTGCCAGAACTTACCATGAAGCTACACTCACAGGCTTAGCGTTAGAAAGTTCAATGATTAGAGAACAAGATGGTCCTGCATTTGACAGCACTGCGAAGGTAGATAAAAGCTGCCTAGAAGCTGAATCCTCCTAATGTAGGGAAGGTTGGAGGCCTGTAAAGAGTAGGGCTCTATAGGGATTATGGGCGGTATAGGCCTTTCAATGAAACAAAGACATTCAAATCTACCCCTGTGAACCTGGAAAACAACTCCAAATCTGGGAGCTGCCAGCAACGCGTTTCAGCGTCTTCTTGGCATCTTTCCACCATCCTGGTCCTACCTTTTTGTCCACCTTGTTTTTGGAGCTTTCCCTTAGAATTTGTTAGGGAAAGCCCATTTCATCCTATGGCTATCTTTGGGGCAGCGGTTCTCAACTTGTTCTGCTCTTTTGCAACATTGTCTTTGAGAAAAGCTATTATTTGGGTCCCACGGGCCCTCATTTCTCCAGGCCTAAGGTCTTGGCTGTTCACAAGCTGAGACACAGCTGAACAAGAAAGTGGCCGCCGAAAATGTGTAAAACACACCACAGCGGATTTTCTGTAGCTTTTTAGTCGCTTTCGCATGTTCTTACTCTTGTATTTCAATGTCTGCTGTGACGGCTTTCATTTGATTTTGCTGAATCACGGGTGAGCTGCTGATGCCAACTCGGGGCCATGAAGCCATTCCCACCCCGCCTTCTTTGCTGTGTCCACGCCAGGCTTCTTTAGGAGCGTCGGCAAGTCCTGAGCAACTGCGCTAGTCCCTGCTAACCATTACCGGCAATTCGCACGTGAGCGCATGACAGCCGGTGGAGACCGACGCCTAGCCGCTACCTGCGTCGAGATTAGCCACTGCGCAATCAGCGAAATCGTATGCGCGCAAGCCATATGTCCACGGCAATGTCATGGGTGCGGCTTGGGCTGTCGGCTTGGCAACTCCGACTCATTGCAGACATTCTATAATTCAAGATGCAATGCATGTTGAAAAGTCACATCAAAATTCAAAGTTATTGGTCGACCGTCTGATCTTCACCCACTGGTGCGTAGCCTTAATAACAATGGACTGAGGCGCTCCGGCGCAATGAATCTTTTGAACAACTCAAGCTCATACTCCTGAAGTGCCACCAGCGAAGCACTTGCGCAGCAAATGCCTGCAGTAGACCTCAGAAACTCGCAAGCCTCAGCGGCCAACTTTGCCTCTGCAATTGCTCGTGCCTGAGCATGACAACAAACAGCAGGCAATGGCAGGGCATTAGACACACTATGGCCAAACACCTGCCTCCATCTTCCTCCGACGCAATCTGTTCTTGTCACCCTGCCGCAAAGCTGGCAAAATGCAAATGGCCCACAAAGTATGCTAAGTGAGTAGAACGCATGGCTTCTCAGCTTTGAAGAATGCCGCAAAACGCCTTTGCGGCTGGCATGGCCACGCAACTTCAAGCTACTGAGCTTATCACAAGCCGAGATCTTGAGACAGAAGTGGCTTCAGCCAATTGCTCTGCTAGCCAGAAGGAGAAAGCCAAGCCACAAGCTTTGAAGCAAGAAACTGAATGGAGGCTGAGTTGAAGCTTGCGAAGCATTCGCGGGCTTCCAGGCGCTTCTTCTCTTTTCTTCTCCCTGCTGACACGCGGGCTCCGGACTGTCAAGGTCAATAGTGACGATGGAGCAGCCTCGCGCGCATCACATCAAATGCTCTCGGGCTTGGCTAGTGATGGCCTTCTGTTGCAAGCTCTGCCAATGCTCCTGTCCACCTGTTGGGTACATTCGGCATCCAAAAGCGCCTTCATATGGCTATTTTCACAAACAGGAAACCTTACTATAGACCCCAATATGTGATGAGACTTATTATCATAGGTACCCCCAAACAGGGATCCCGAAGTTATGGAAACCCATGTAGGCAGGACAGGAGGGCTAACAGGGGATCAGAATGCTCTGGACGGGACTGTTGCAGCAGAAGCTGCTTCAGGCCTGCGCTGTCTGCAGCCTCTAGAACTGGTTGGCAACTATCCCAAAGTAGTCCCTGTGTAGACATATAATCCCACGTATGATCCCCAAATAGTGCCAAACCTAAACCCTAAACCCTAAAAATCTGTGTATATTTTTGAAACCTCCCTAGAGCCCTGAAACCTCCACTAAGGCCCACACCTGGCTGTCGGTCAACTGTTTGGGACAATGTCGCCTGCCTGAAATGGCTGATTTACGGTGTAGGGTTTTGCGGTTTCAGGGTTTTAGGGTTTAGGGGTTTGAGGGTTTAGGGATTTGGGGTTTTAGGGTTTAGGGATTTTAGGGTTCAGGGTAGGGGTTTCTGGTTTTGGGCGCCTAGGGTCTAGGGGTCTGGGGTTCAAGTGTAGGGCTTCAGGGGCCGCACCCGCACACCCCCTCATTTCCTTACCTCTGCAAAGCAGGGAAAGAAGGAACCAAAAAGACAATGGAAACTAGTATATGGGGACTACTGTAAGGATGCATGACGTCATCACCTGCGAACCAGAGGTAAGCGTCTCGAATCGTGAAGCCCCAGAACTGGTGCCGCGATGCGTAAGCAGCTCTGCCATGCATGCATTGGGAATCTACTTTCAAAGGAACTCAAGCTGACCCGTAAGGCGCGTCCTCGGGAGTCATCGGATGAACTGCTGATTCGAAGCGGAAGCAGACACTGCTAGAAAACACCGATTATACGGCTTTGCTTCACTGACCGCAGGCCTCTTCGCCCTCTTCACATTCCCGCCACTTTCTTGGGCCGGCGCCTCTTTAGCCTGACACGGCAGCGTCCGCAAGAGCTTACCGTCCCTGGCATCACTCTGATGACTCTGATTGTTCTCTTGAGGTTGGAGGGGTCTGATGCTGTCCACCTTTGCAAAATTTCAGCACGAAGCAAGTGATCACCTTACGCCTGGCTTCCCCGCACTTTCTAGCCCTTCCACGCGCCTTCCCTTCGCGCCACTGCTACACGCATTTGCATGACGGCCGCTGCAGTATCACCGGTGCCGCTCTACTTGTTTTCGGAACCTCCCGTTTAGGGCGTGTGTTTGATCCCCCTAAGTCTTCACACTTGCAAGCAGGACAGCTCAAGGTCCTCAGCGGCAAGGCCGCATCAAGCCGGAGCATCTTGCACATCTTTCTTCTAGACTGTTCTTACTATGATGAACACGATTACTCTTACTACGATAGTATTACGATTCGTAAAAAAAAAGTTAACTACCCCATATTTGCCCATGAAGAAACTGCAGATTATGGCTACATAGACGTCCCGTGGAGCCCTCACTTCCATAAGGCTGGCCAGACCCGGCTTATCGACCTGGCTTATCCACGAAACACTTAGGGTTAATGAGATTCCACGTGCATTTTAAAAATTTGGCCTGCGCATGAATACAAGCCCTGTCAACTTCCAAGTAGCCAACACGGCTTTAGCTAATAAAGCGCAAGGGCTCTTTCTCTACCTCCGTACCTTCATTTGGATAGGCACAATGCTTGCCGCACACGCCCAAAAAAGCAGCCCCTTTGCGCCAGATCGAGCCTTCTATAATAGCAATTACACACGTCCTAAATCAGGGGCACCGTGAATCTGCGACGCCCCCAGACCACCCAAATTATAGGCCTTGCAAAAGACACACCTAAGCAAAGAAATCGGACTGCTTTCAAAAATAGTTTGAGATGCCCATGCAAATTACAAGAGCCAAGCAGAAGGTGACATCCACGGAAATCGTCACACGTGTTAGCCGGCGGTTTCTTTCAAGACAATCTGAACTTCTTCCGAAAAGGGGAGGGGGGTGGGCGCTGCCTTCGTGTCACCACTTTGGAAAATTCTGCTAGCGTAGCGCCTGCGTCCGGAAGAAGTCCCGTAGCGTTGAGCTCTTTGATGTCCCTGATGAGTTGCTCACATGAGCTATAGTCCAAACCCAGTAGGGGGGTTATATAGGGGAGCATTACAGGGGTTATTAAGGGGGATGCTAGGGGTTTAGACTACAGCACACATATTGCTTCTGTCAAGGGATCTTATCCTGAGAATCGAAGGGAACGTCACATGAACAATGACATGGAAACTTGAACTATACAGCTAGTGTATAGGGATTATATCCTGTCCAAGTAAGGGACCAATACAGCATTTTAAGTGTGAGATAGATTGTTCGTATAGGGAATACGAGGGGAGAATGATCCATAATTTTGCCGAACTATCCCAGGAAATCGGTTCGGCACTCTTACAGTAGAAGCCCTTTCATCACCTTTTTTGGTTATGAGGGGAAACATAATCTAGGGCTGCAGAATGCTACTGCAGTCTTTCCCGCTAGTCACAATAATAACAATAATGAGATCAACAATACCAACACCAGCAATAATTAGTGATGGCAATAGTGCTGCTAATATCAATTGTCAGAAGATCTGCCCTCACACCACCAGAATGGGGAATCAAGAGGAAAAGAACATGGACAAGGAGATGGAAACTGTGATCTTGTGTTTCTAGGGATTATGAAAAACCCCCTAAACCCCTCAACCTCTAAACCCTAACCCAACACCCTAGAAATCTACGTAGAGAGCCCGCCTCCAGCTCACTACCTTCTTAGGGTTTAGGTTGTGTTTTGCCATCAACAAGGGGATCCCAAGACACCAACAGGCCCCGTACTCTCTGGAAGCCTAGACCCTATAAACTCCTTACATACCAATCTCTGTGCACAATCCCACAACACCCCAAGCAGGCAACTTCAAAAATACCAGCCATACTTACAATCCAGGACAAATACAGATGCTATATGTATATACATATATTTTTTGTAATATGTTCCCAACATAGTCTCTCTCTATGTGTATATATATATATCTACATATATATATATACACATGTCTCTCTCTCTCTCGCGCTCCCTGACGTCCCAATGCCACCCTTATGTTGCCCTCATATTCCCATTACATAGTACTCTCCAATTCTCTGCCCCTCCCCTGAAGAAGCCCTGGATACAATCGGTGGCCCCCAGAGACTTGAAGCTTCTCAGCTACCACGGGACCTCCGTCAGCGGGCAAATTTGGCTGTCCGCTCTTTCCCTTGCTTGTTCCACGCTCTGGCAGCATGTCTCCTGGGCAAGCCAATAACACGTCAAATGGCTGGCTTAGGCTTTGATGATCAGATGTGGGATGTGCATGAGAAATCTGCAGCAGCGATGAGGTCACTCCCGGACATGCCCTGCAATCTTGCTTGCTTGCCCGTCTACACATTATGTGAGGGGCCAGCAGGGAGTTGGCTGCTGAGCTGCTCCAACGGAGCTCCCCCACCACATCCCAGTAAGACTTCCTTAACAACTTACTCACATTTGTGCGCTGACGGGTCCTGGCAGGGACAGCTTGCGGGGCCTGACCCTTCATCTCCTACCTGTGTACAATTCCTGGTCTCTGGTACACAGTGACACCAAGACTGTGTGACTGTGGTGCATCCCATCTCGTTCCCATGAATTGCGCCAATAACTGAAATACTTCTGGAATAAATTCAGGGGCCCTATACAGAACATACTGAAAGAATTTTCATGGGTTTATTGGGAAGATACAGGGATTATCGTCCATGATAATTAAAACAACATATTCTGGGGACCGGCCCCATGGCCTGGCCCTGCATCATGACTCCAGGAGCATGAACCGTACAGCAGGCGTCGCCCCTTCGCCCAAACCAACTGAAAACTTTGAACATTGAACACTCACAGCTCGAACTTCCAGAAGCTGCTGGTTATGTCTTAAGCCACTCTGACTGCTTAACATACGCTTAAGCATCTTTACCTCCAACTACTGGGTAGTTCCCAAAAAGTTAGGGTCCCAATTTGGTACCCCCCCAAATACTAGATGCCGTAACATAATCTATAACCAGAAAAGGGCCCATGATTCGAACAACAACCCTACTGCCCTCAGCTAATATCATAACATAGTAGTTTCCATTTTCTTTTTCCATTATCCCAATAGAATCCCTATATAACCCTTTATGATATTGGTAATTGTCCCTAAACCCAAATACCATGAGTAGTATAGTATTTGGGCCCTAACACCCTATTATTTGGGTCCTTGGACCCTCAGGGTATGTAGGCTAATATTATAAAATAGTTGTTTCCATTTTCTTTTCCTTCATCCCTTTATAATCCCTATATAATCCCTGTATATGATATTGGTAATTATGTAGGCCCCTGTATTAAGCCGGGTTTCGGTGCCAGCGCACTGCCTCCCGAGGCAGCGTGGGGTCCCAGGAGAGAGGCCAAGGTCGAGGCAGCGACTCCTTGGCCTCACGACTCTAAGGACTGATGCCCTGCCCCATTCAAGGATACCCTCCACCCAAGACATAGATATATATATATATATATGTCAAATATATATATTTAAATGTATACAGTAGATATATATATATATATGTATACACATACATACACAGATTTCTTTATTCCTAATGCACATCCACATATATATATATATACCTAATTTGGCTACGAGGAGAAGACATTAGGAGGAATATCTTTTTGTGAAGGGAGTGGGAGGTGTATTGTTATATCGGGTGAGATGATTCCAGGGACTAAGCACCTGACTGGCCCTGATGAAAACAGCTGCATGATCCTTCAACATCCCAGCGCACGTCCCAAGTGGCCTCGCGAAAAAGCTTGATGTCTATGCCATCCAGCTGTGCAGCCACTTTCTCCCGAACAGACTCGGGCAGGCGCCTGTCGCAAACCCTCAACCAGAATTGTTCACCCTCGGCACGCATGAGCTGGCACACAATTTGTGGGTTAAGTCACTGGGCCGTACTCCGGAGCAGTTTGAGCAATGCTCCCTACAAAAAGACGGAACAAGCTTGGCCTGCAGGGACCTTTCCTTGCCGGATACTGTCACACTCAGTGCTGGTCAGCGCAGAATTCGACGACGATGTGTTATGGACGCTAGGAAAGTGACAGCTCGCTGTCTTAGAAAAATCTACTTGCCTGAGGCCACCTTGCGCGCAAGAGGCTTCCTGAATCTTCCTGACTTCATCCAAGAACTGCGGTCTTTACTACAGAACCCTTCAAAGCAACCTCAACCAGACTCTGTCCCTGAGCCAAGGTACCAGCAGCCAATCTCACCAGCACAGGGCACGGGTGTCTTCAGGCGCAGCCTAGGCTGATTCGACACCATGGAGACCATGAAGGCACATTGAGCTATGTAACGCGTTCTTCTCAACGCAGATGTTCATAGTAAGGAACCTGCGCGGACTCTTGCTAGAGCTTACTCTCGTCTGTGCCTTGCTTATGCGGCGCTGCTTCCGAACCAAACCTGTGCAATGTTGCGCACCAAGAGCTGTGTGTGTATACAAACTAGAGCGCTGCAAAACCTCCAAGCTCGACCAAAGCTTTTGCAAAACATCAATCTCTGCGAGCTTTGCAGACGCTTACGTATACAGAGCACAAGGGAACAAACCTATACGGATCCGGATCCAATGTACGAGCAACCACATAAAGTTTTCCGCTGCCCATTGGCATCAGGCATCTGAAGATTGATTGCACTGACCGCTTTGTTCAAGCCCTGGCGCGCAGCGGAGAGTATGTTGCAAATGGGTCCGCCGGCGTGCGGGCCTCGGCAAGGCAAGCGCTTGGCAACCAGCTTCTGCTGTGTTCCGTCCTTACTGCAATGTACTGCAGAGCTCTGGAACCGTGTTGAGGCTGAACGCAGAGACAAATATGTTAGCTGTTCCATGCAGCCAAGCCGCCTTACTCATCAGGTAGAAGCTTGGCCCCACAAAAGCAACAAGAAACAATTGAGGGACGAGAGTTGCGTGCCTTGCCGCCTTCTTCAAGTTGACTCCGTACTCACAGATAACATGTTTTGCTGGGTTTCTCACTCAACGCTTGAAAGGTACCGCTGGCTGACCCAATCCGGGACTCACGGCTGAATGTGCAGGAGTCCACATGCCGTAGATCATTGCCAGGACCTCGGTCGGTAAGTAGCATCGCCATCAAAAACGAACTGGGTACTCGCACCAAACCGCAAGCAGGAAAGCAAGAGCGTAAGCAAAGATCAAACTGCCAAGATTGAGGACGCCGAAGCTGGCCCATGACCGTTCCCGGGTAGTGTTTGCAGCGATGACATCAACAAAAATTCATCACAAGCGCAAAATAACCCCAATATAGCCCCTATATATACCCATTAGATATACCTCTGTATATACCCCTATATATCCACCCCGATATAACCCCTATATATACCCCCATCTCCAATCCAATACTCTCTCTGTATCAATAATAGCAGTTGTACCCAAAAACAGTAACGATAATACTCCTGGAATTGGCTGGGCTCCTTGCCATCGCACTCCTGGCCGGAAATAAGCAAAGGTGGCTGCATTTGTTAATTGTTGATCATAAGAATACGAACAATATCCATAATCATAGCAATAATATTAGTAACAAAACTACTGTAACAACACTAAGAACAACAGTAGTAACAGTATTAGAACAATATAAACAACATTAATGAGAATAATAGTAATAGTTAGTAGCAGTATCAACAGGGTGTCCTGCTAGGAAGAAACCGGATTCAGAAACCAACAGTCCACGCTTCCGAAACTTATCTACCTGATTCAGACAGTTTGATGGTTGTGGGGGCACCGGGTAGTTCAGCTCAGAAGCCAGGAGTCAGTTTCCGAATCAGATTGTCATAGCCCACTCAAAGGTTCTAGATTCGGAACCAGAGGGAATCAGAGGTTCTTAGTTTCTAGACTACGAGGCTTAGCCTGAATCAGGTTTGTTTGCGATCAGGCGATTCAGGGCGCAGTTTCTGAACCTAGCCATTACATAATTGCCTAGACTCATAGTTTCCGAGAATAACCCAGCAGCCCCTGCAAGCTCTTCGCTGATTGAAAGTTACCCCTTTTCCGCCGCCCTGATGAGACTCTGATCTGGTCTGGAGGGTTGAGGCTGGTGATGGGTTCTAAAATGTTCTGAACGAAGGGTTCAGGCCTTGCCGCAGCGAAATTCTTCCCGAAGGTCGGCAAAGCGCACCTTCAGTGCATGCGGCTACGAAGGACGACGCCTGGCCTCTACGGCTTAAGACTATCCCTGGGGCTCTAAGTCTATAAATAATACCTACATTGGGCCCTAAACCCTATAAATAGTACCTACATGGAGCCTTAGGGTATGGGTAGCAGCTCCTGTGGCACCGGCGCTGGTCACCTGGAGAATTCTCTGCCTTTTCAGCCAAAGGCACAGCTCTTTCCACCCATGCCGCGCCCACGACATAGCCTTTCCTGGGTTGGTGTTAGGGAACTTGCATTACATTACCAGAATTCAGTACATAGTTAATAACAGGGTTTCCATATTATAGAAATTTCATTGAAGCTCTCTAACAGCAACCCACTTTCCTTGAATGTGCCGACGGGTCCGTGGTTTCAAGGCTTGTTGCGTTAATCCAAGGGAATTCCAAGTGAGCCCGGATCCATGTCTCGCCAGAGGCCATCAATCAGTTACTCCCTTCCCCAATTCATAAAGCGTCAACTAACAACAAAAGATAAGTTCTGGTCGACAACCCTGGCAGACTGAATCAAAAGCAGCTAACTGGCGGAATATATATATATATAAAGGACTTATATACACCTCATAAAGCCCCATTACGAGTACTCTTTGTTAACTCTACAATGCATTTGAAGTGTTCACGAAAGAATGAGGGGCCTTCCTAGACTGCTGACACGGTATAGGGGTATAGGGATTCCGAAAAAGGTGTGTAAAAGAGCCTCAGGAACTCTGTAGTTGGAGTTGGGCATCCCCTTGACTTCCGAGTTCCTGGATTTGAAGTGTTTGCATAAGGCGGCTTTAAAGGATCGCATCTAAAGGAATCAGCAACAAACTCAACTAGCATTCGGGAGTTGCCTTGATGTCTTAAGTTGTTAATGCCGCCATAAGCTTTTGCAACCAAGGAACTGTATAAACAATGTCAAGAAAAACTAACTACGCACACGTAGGGATTAGCTTCCTAGAGCTTCCTGCCATTTCTGCTAGGTATAATACTAGTCCCGTTCCAGTCTCAGTTTTACCATCGGGGGGAATATAATTCGTGTGAGGTTACACTAAACCTCACCGCTCCTGTCCCTCATGAATGCCACGTTGTATTTTGGTGCGAGACCCTAAGTCCAACCATGGAAAGACCCATGGTGCCAAACCATATATGGTCGGCAACAGCATAATCATCTGAGCCATAGCCTGAACTCCTAGCATCCCTCTTAAGCAACTTACCACAGGAATCCCATGAATAACCTCCTTCAATGCAAGGAGTTTAGATTATGGCTCATTAGCACAAAACGAATCCGAACGAGCCTCGGGCACTGCGAATCTGGTGGCAGCGGCTCTGCTGCAAGCTTGCGCATGATCTGATCCTAGGAGCAAATTCTGTTGCTTTGGACGGGATTTACATCAAACAAGGCCAGAGAATCGTCGGGAAATCAAGCCTTGATCATATGCCTGGGAGCAGAGCTCATTGGGTCTTCGTTGAAGGCCATATCACCACTTCGCAAAATCTTATGCTCAGCCTTATCCAATGTGTCCGAGATTGTCTTGGGAGAATAGGTCTAGTAATTACCATGCTCGATGCTCCGAAAGTCTGGGCCAATGTCACGCTTTCATGCCTACAAGCTTCCTGAAAAACTAAGGAACCCACTGTCTTCCTCAATGAAACTGACAACAAGAACAGCTGTCGTGCGCTCGAGCACTCGGTGCTGGTCGGACGAGCACAATTGCTCCCTGGTGCGTGCCCATGGCCCATGTCTGTGGTCTCCAAACGTGTGGTTGTACAGGTGGGGATGAAGCCGCCACAGAGCGGCTGCTACACGTAGCGTCACAATCATCATGGAGATGTCTCACATGACCGCCGTGGCCGACAGGTGTGTGCAAAAAGGTGGACGGTGGAGTCTCTTTGGCGGCAAATAATTCCTTTGGCGGCGCCACTTTAGGGTTCAGGGCTTGCCCGCACACCTGGGATGCGTGTCCCCATCTGAGATGCCCATGATTTTGCCAAGAAGCAAGTCGTGGGTCACATTTCCCCTGACAGCACTGCGGGGCTCTGGTTTGTCGAGGTGGAGACTTGGTTGCATTGGTCCTAGTCCATGACTTAGTATGTCGAACGGCTTGGGTAGAACCATAGTGGGAACGTACCACAGCTTCCTCTCCACGGGCGAGACAGCTCAGGACCCTGAGCATGCAGGAATCGCACGAACTTGCCATGCTCACGAAATCAGGATAGGGAGGGGGTTATCCCCAGGATCTTATCTGGATAAATTCCTGGGGGGATGAGAGGCAATCAAGAATATGTATCAAAGGGGGTTGGGGCCTCAGGAAGCACCGATTGTGAGTGTTCATGAGGCTTTGACGTGGACCGGAGGCCTGACATGAAATCCTGCGGGCCTAAGCTACAAACCTTCAATTTTTTGCATGCCTCCTCAAGCGCTGTCGTCGCAGGCCCTCGTCTCCCACAATCACAGTGGGAGGCTCAGGCTTTAGCGTCTTTGCCGTCGAAACTGCCCTCGCCTCCCACTATCACAGCGGGAGGCTCAGACTTTGTTGTCTTGCTCGTCGAAACTGCCCTCGCCTTCCACGCTCTGACTTTGTCAATTGTCGTCGAAACTGCCTCCCACTATCAGTGGCAAGCTGCCCAGTGCACCGAAATAAGTCCTGTCGGCCTGCCACACGGATCATTTTCTGGCATAAGATTTCCTGAGCTAACCTTTCCTCCCGGGGCCAACAACAAACACGAAACAAAATCCTGCAAACAGCCACAAGGACCGGAAAAGAAAAACCTGGATGAGGAACTGATGAAAAGGAAACTTGAGGCTTGAGCCCCTAGATTTCAGTTTACCGCGCTACAGTCAGATGCTATAAAGTTAACGGCTCAATCAGTCAATTTGTTCTAGAGTCGAGGACTCCTGTGAGAGCTGTGACGGCGCGTTCAACAACACAATTCTGCGAATCACTATTGACGATGAGGATAATCGTGATGATGAACAGTTTCCTCGTACTCCAACCCTCAGAACCCACCGCAATGCATCAGCTGATTTGTTCGTCCCACACAAATGATGCATGATCGCATCGCGATCCCCGCTATACAAACATGCTAATTACATAGCCACCCTGTGTAATTAACCGTCAGCATAACCCCATGTACCCTGGCTGGGGTTTAGGAACAGTCCCAGAAGAGCAACGGGAAAAAAGCCCCGCCTTCCCGGTGTGCAGCGCAATCCAGCCCAAGGGAAGCCGAACAGAACGGTTCTCAACATCCTCATCAGTTGGGTCATGGTGTAGAGATATTATCCCCAATAATGGAGAATCAAATTGAAAAGAAACGGGATTATATTGCGTTGTACACCACTTAGGGGAGGCTTGGGGGCCCCACTCAATCTAAACTGTAACCCGGCGCTGGTCTAGAAAGAAAAGTTCATGGCCAGGGTGGAGGCCTTGGCCCAGCCAATCCCGTGTGATTCGCCAAAGCTGTCCAGTCCGGTTTTTGCAGGTCGCAAAAGTGCCAGGTACTGCCCATCTTACCTTTGGTTAGCTGGGAAAAGAAAATGGAAAGTATCATAATGGTGTATAGGCACTACTATAAGGATCCATTCCTTCATTCCTAGCTAACCAAAGGTAAGCCATGGACAAGATCAAGCGGCTGGCCTTGTACCCATGCAGGATTGCTTCGGTCACCACACTGCCTGCAAGGCTGCTCTAAGTTGCAAACTGTTGAGGGCTAGGCGCTCTCCGTCTCCAAAGAGGACGTGTCACACTGCCAAGTCAAGATTCGAATCTCGGTTTCTTCCGCACGTTTGGCTTCATATATACATATTATATATAGGGAGAGAGAGAGCGTACACGAGTCAACTTACTCACCGATGGGTTGGGCAGAGCGTTTTAGGCTCAAAAGAACACAGGCGGCATGCAGATGTCCATTGCTGTCGGAATATACATGAGAGCAGCCAAGCCATGCGATCTCACAGGGTCTCGTATCACCTGATGGAAGTCATGGCATACATTGACATACAACAAATCAGCAACAATTGATTGCACGAGCTTCCTTCAGGCTGAGGCCCGTAAGTACAAACGTGATTAATAGCCTTACTTAAAGAAGTTTGTGTGAAGTAGAACTCCATAATTATCTAAGAGCATCCGAGCAACCTTTCAAACCAACACATGCTTCCAGATTCTTCCATTCCATTTTCCTTTTGATTCTCAGTTATTGGGGGTAACATCCCCAAACCCCCAAAGCCAAAACCCGAACCCCGCCGCAGCCAAGCAACCTTTCAACGTAATCGCCATGGAGATATCGCTTGGTGGCTCCTGCATGCCCACGGCGAAAAATTAAAACCTACAGGCCTTAAACCCCAAACGGCCGTTTTTTCTTTTCCCGTATCCCATCAACCCGAAACCCTAAATCCCTCTATAACTCACCCATAGATCCCCCTATTACCACCACATTACGTCTATATGGCACGTCAGGCCTCTCGCTGCGAGATCCTGATTACCTTGAGGGTTTAGGGTACCTTCAATCCGTATTTCCTATAGAATTAATGGAGAATCAGATGGAAAGGGGCAATTTTGAAAATGAAATGGAAACCGGGATCATACAGAGTATTGTAAGGATGAAAATTGGACATGGGTAAGACATTAGTGACTGTACTAAAGTACCAAAGGGACCCTCATATCCACTCTGAACCGTCCCTTGGTAAACCTAAACACTACTCCTTAAACCATACCCTAACCCCTGAATCCTCATCCATCCCTAAACCCTGACCCCTAAACCCGAATCCCTAACCCCTAAGCTCTAATCCCTAAACTCCTACTATTCATAGTAGCTCATTGCCATTCAAATCTTCCCGGCTCGGGTACAAGGAAGTCAAACCCAATGCGCCATCTTCTGGCTCCACATTGCCGAATTGCCAGAATATGAGCCATAGTGACGAACTCCTAGTATCCCCTTAAACACCCTAGATTTAGAGTCTAGGGTTTAGGGATATCTAATTCCTAGTACCCCACTTAATAACCCTGTGATCTAGAGTTCAGGGTTTAGATCCCCCCTAATAACCCCCTAGGGCTTGGGGATATCTACACGCCCAGGGTCTCCCCCAAAAAGCCCTACGATATGATCCCTATATAGTTCCCTTATAAATTATATAACCCCCTTTAAGGAATTTACGCTACAGCTTACGTAGGGTCTCTCTGAAGGGTGGATGTATGAGAACACAGTTGTATACTACGGGCTTTTTTAGTGGGGGCTCATAAGGTGCCCAAGAGATAGGGTACTACCCCCTAGAATGGAGAACCAATTGGAAAAAACATGGACAATTTCATGGAAATTGGATTATATGTCTCTTTCTGAGGATGACGATTTGGGAGTATGTAAAGGAGCACCCTATTTATGGAAACTACCTAGTGCCAATCGAACAAACGTGATCCGAACCCGACTCCCTCCAGCTCCGGTGAATGAGTTGTTGGTGATGTCGCGCAGCGCCGCCGCTTCGCAACCGGAGTAGCCATGAAAATCGGAGAGACAGAAGAAACAACGATGCAGTTAGGGAACATGTGTTGTTGGGTGTGTACGGCGAGACCTCATGCATGGCGCCCCTTTAGCTTCCACACGGTTTAGGGTTCAGGGCTTTGGGTTTAGGCTTTGGGGGTTGGGGATGATGAAGCTTGAAGTTGAGGTGTGGTCTACTTTTGTTTGGCTTTGGGGTTTTGGGTTTGAGATTTAGAGGTAAGGTTTTCGGGTTTAGAGTTTCTAGGCTGCTCCTTTCAATACGTATGTCTAGGCCCCCCCCTTGAGATGCGTCTGTGCTATGGGAAGCATCTCGCCCTGAAGCCAAAGGCCCTATGACAACTCGAAGGTACAAGCAGGACGTTAGGGTTTAGAGTTCACGGTGTAGGGACACTTGGATATTTGAGAATTGGGAATACTCGTTGTCCAGTGTGGTACAAGCTTTTGGGACTTGATGACCAAGTAGTCGGGATCCCCACTGTGTGTGAAGGACATGTCGCACCACAGTAATTTTTACCCTGATATCCAAAACTCTGGCCCAGTCTGCAAACCACGCGCCTCGCAACAGGTCGTATGAAATACGTAGTTCCAGACCTTTTTTGGAAAAACTCCGGCTATGGCCCAATGACAAACTGCCTCAAAACAAGTTTGGAAACAGCAAAAAAAACAATTAACACAAAACACAAAACACAATTCGAGTTACAGTGGTGTATGGTAGTTCTAGACCTTTTCTGAAGGGCTCCGGCTATAGCCCAAGGAAAAACTGCCTCAAAACAAGTTTGGAAACAGCAAAAAATCAATTAAAACAAAACACAAAACACAATTACAGCTACAGTGGTGTAACTCAGTTAAAGCACAACAAAAAGCATAATTACAGTCACAGTGGTGTATGTTGTAGGGGATGTTTCATGGGATGTTTCATCACATGAAACATCCCCTGGGGATAGATGCCTTAGGCTGTAGGATGACGGCTCTATCGTAGGTTCTAAATAAAATAGAACAGGATTCTAATGACTTTTTCTCAGAATTTGTTTTTGGCCGCGCAACTGCGCACAATTAGGGGACCCCAAACGAACNNGCGAAACTTCGCACAATTAGGGAACTCCACACTGATCGGGGGGATTCGACATTATATGGTTTCTGATGGTGGCATCGTATATTCCGGTCTGCATATCAAAGAAAAAGGTTCATGGCAAAAAATTGTGTACCTGTCAAAGCTCAAACTCAACCGCAAACATCACCATGAGGTAATGACAAGGTAGAAGGCGCACACAAATGGCAAAAAACCTGCCCCATGAATCCCAAGGCCCGTACCGCATGAGCCTTTTGGATTAAACCAGCCACAGCAATACCACCATGCTAGCCAGATGAAAATGTCCAGCTTACCAGCCTATTTGGGAGTGAGCAACTCTGCTTCTCGACCGTCAGAGCTGGGAAATCAAGATGCAGCAGGCTCTTTGTGAAATTTGCCTGGGCCGAACAAAGTTTGATCTTTGCACTCACTTCTCTTTTTCTCTCTGGCGGATTAAGCACGGGTCGCCAGGCCAATCAGCGGTGGAGTGGGCCTCAAGCCTGGCATGCTGGCAGAACTATTGGAGCTTTCGGGCCTAAAGCGGCCGGGATTTTCTTCAATGCCTTCCAGCATGCAGTTGCACAATGTCAAGGTGTTTCACGGTTCAACGGAATGACGACGGAGAGTTTTTGACCTTCGTATCAGGGTTCTGCAATGCAATCTTGGGCTGTGTAAGCTGGTTGGAGATCCCACAGTCCGCCTGGTGGAATTCATGACTTCAATGCTCAGGTTTCCTGGTTGGGTATAGGAAGCATGGGGCCCAGTGCAAGCAGCAAGCCGCGCGCAAGTGCAGCAATACGTAACACAGCTCTGCGCACTTTGAACCCTGCCAATCCCAATACCAGGTATACAAGTTTGTTCAGAACATACTCTCCTGAAGACTTGGGTCCCATCCAACAGATGCCAAAAAATGACGAAACTCAGACCTCATGCTTGAGTTCGCAACGCAGTTGCAACAGAGTTGGCGTAGCTTGAACCGAGCGACAAAGGCCGTGACCCGCCGCCGCCACCACCATCATGTGAACGTCTAGCTTTTTGCGATAGAAGGAATCACTTGACTGCTTGGATGCAGAAAAGGAGCGCAAATGTGGGCAACTACCTTGAGACCTGAAAATTTCAAGCGGTCTGTTCCCCAAATCTCACCTCCCCTCAAGCGAAGAGGAGCAGGTGAGCTTGTCGGTGCCGGGTCCAACCTCTGGACCTGAAGGGAGGAGATGGAGGAGCAATGACGTACGGCTTAGTGTTGAGACTAATCTTTTTTTACGGCGTGTACCTGCAAGCCGATTATGAGCCCCATAGGTGCCTCAATATGTTTGAAACTGGGTTATGAATGCAGTTGGTCAGGTGAATAATTGCTCGGACTCCCTAGAGCCTGATGGAAAATAGAAAGGGATTGAGGGGGTCTCCATAAAGGATCGGATGTTATAGCCTCGCATAGGCAGCGTTTTGCCAGGTCGAAGTTCTGTAGGAATCGATGAGGATGATGCCTTGCAAATGTTTTCCTCCGTGTTTTAGACGACTCAGAAGACTCCCTGCCCACCAACGCAGAAGTTCCCGAGAAAGGTGAGATCTGTGGCCTCTTCAACATTCCCTACTATAAGCCCCAATAATCGTATAATATACTGTAATAGACTATAATATTATGCTATACTATAATATACTACAAACATACCATAATCTATAGCGTAGCAGCGGGCAGCACTACGGATGTGATTTGCAAGCTGTCTAGCTTCGGCAGATCGCACGTGCATTTTTGAACTTCATAGCCACTTCAATCCTGCTTCTGTAGGACCTAGCGTGCCCCATAGAAGCTACTGCAACAAACACCCCGCTGCTGCCGCCTCCGCCAGCACCGCCCATCAGTCTACCTACTGATCTCAAGACGACCAATCTTTGCCCTATTTTAAATGAAGTACCATCCCTCCCGGGTACTGATGGGGGTATTTATACCTCGCGCACAGACGTTAGGTGCAATGGAGTCTGAACGATGAGAATCCACAGGTGGATTCTCTGAAAGTTGGGATTCGGGCTATGAGATTATCATGGCGCAGGCTCACGAAACCTAAAATGCTGAGCAAAGCACAATTTCCAAGAGCTGCCGACGAGGAGTCCCCCATTCCTGCCCAACAGAATTATGGTCTAAATCTGCAATGACTGTCCAAGCTTGTCTTGGGTATCATCTCAGGTCATTCAGTCGGCAGCTTACTGCTTTGCCTGCGCCCCCGCCCCCGCCCCCTCACCACCCTGGCACTGACCATCGCTTCTGCCGCGAAGTCTTTGTCCTGAGACCCTGGCCGCATAACCTGACACGTGTACCCTTCACTTACACTTTACGGTACATCATCAGACATCACCACGTGCGAGACCTGCGCCTTCTGTTGCAAAATGTTGCAGTTTAGGGGAACCCACGGGACCTCACCCAGCGGTTTCTCGAGCACCGTCCTGGAATCGCAGTGATCTTGAAGTCTGCTTGTGTTGAACTTATCTAGCTTGTCTACTTTGCAGATGGCACTTAAAACAAAAAGTGCGCGATCACTAGCTTGCAGTCACGAACACTAAGGATACTTTAAGATGCGAATTAGGCTTGATTAAACACGTTTCCAGCATCGGATAGGGCAGGTATGCGCAGGGCAATGGAAAACTACGCGTCACCATTTGAATTGATGAACTGAACGCATGAGGTAAAATATCTGAATAATTTGTCTGAACACCTTTGATTAGCTTAATTATAGGCGTTGCTTGCTTGTCCTTGACTTAGGCAGATGTGCATTAACTTTGCATATCTAACAACAATCTTTGAGGAAATTTCAGGCAGTGGACGCCTAGGTACATGCATTACACTCACTATGCCGAAAGGAGCCCGAACACTGCGAGCATAAGAGAACAAAGCCAGCCAGTCCTGACATCGCTGAGCAATGCCTGCAAGCAGCAAACTTGCGTGAGCGGCTTCTCAGGAAAAATCTAGTGGTCAAAGGCATTGCTGGCAACTTCTGATACCTGCCATTGCGTGTTAACACATTGCATGGTGCTGGCGCAAAATCGAAGCTGAATGAAGTTGATAACTGAGTGCTGCCGGCAGCTCGGTGGACATGCTGAGTAGGCTTCAGGGATGAGCTTTCTGATGCATCAAATAACTCATCATGCCCAGGGCCATCCATGCATTCACCATTTCACGTGTCCTTTGGCCGTGCGACTGCCCTTTGGAAAGAGCGTGTATCTAGGCCGCGCGCAGGATGCACAGGCAGTCTTCCGCTTCACACGCCCTGGTTCAACATTGATTGACTTGCGTGCTCGGAGGACCAAATATTTCTTGCCATAGTTTTTTCAGGAGCGTAGAAGTGGCGGGGGGCTGCGCTTGTGTTGTGCGCATGCACAGCTGAAAAGCTTGAACAGGCGAATCTGATTTCGGCAGTCTTCAAGTGACTTGTTTGCCGCTTGCCATTCGAGGCAGCGTTGCCCTGGAGTGTCAGGTTTCCTCTGGTTTCGTTTTGAATTCTCGTTTGCATTGTTTCTGCAAGCTGCGGTTTTCCATCTCTCTTCGCCCTGGTGCAGGGGACTTTTGACACGCTTGCCGCGCGCTGCGGATCACTTGCTTAGTCGTTGGAGCCCTCCTGTTGCCTGGTCAAAGAATCCAGGGCACACCCGGTCCTGGCCTGCTTACCTGCCGAGAAAACTTGCTTCAGCAGCGTCATCGTTCCATTGGATTGGCGGAAAGTGTTCTCTGCGCGAGAGCAAGGAGAGCAAGGATGCTGAAGGGAGATGTGCTCAGCCGCTCAGTTCCTCCGGTATGTGGCAACAAGCAGCCATGGCCATCCAGGTTATGGCGACACCTCCTTGCTGCCCTGCCAGCTTTGCTTGGCAAGTGGCGGACGTGGACGTGCCACGAAACGCAGCTCAGGCTGTTTTACATCCCTCCATCCATCCCTCCATCCATCCTCACATGCATCTAGCTGTACATAATATGCCAGTAAGCATGTACGTATGTATCTGTGTCTGCATATGGGATGAGTGCAGCAGTGACTCTGCTTTCAAAACAAGTGTACGTCGCTGTGTTACTCACAGCCGGAAAGACATTCCAACAATAAAGTCAACCGCAACTCATATATGGTGCTGCCTAAATAGAACGCCCCAATCTTTAAATCAAAAGTTGTATGGTTTGTTGCTTGTCACCTACCTCCGTTCACAGAGGGCAGTGCTTGCATGACAGGCGCGATACAAACAGCCCTATTGAGATTCTGCAAGATTTAGTTTGCTCGCAACCCCGGTCTGAAGGCTTCACGACCACGTCTCACAATTCCTGACAAGCTTTCTGGCAGCTTGCCATAAGCTGATCAAAATCCTGCATTTCCAAAAGCTTTGAAGCTGGCAGATCCACAAACTGGCCTTTGACTTTACGCTCTCTGAATGCATATTGCGTTTCAAAGTTCGCTCGAGTCAGCTAGAGAGCCTCCAGAACGGGCCGCGTGGAGCTCAATCGAGCGCCATCCTGCTGTTGCTCTTTTAAAGCATTTCTTCTGCAAGGCGCTTAGAAACAAGCCCTGTGGGATACTCTTCAGCACAGAATGCTTTTGGGATTCTTTGTTAGCTCCCCGGAGTCTGCTGTGTACTTGGCAGTCGCTCAACCTTACCATGTCACAGTCATCTCAATGAAGACACTGCAGAAGCAAAGCCCCAATAAAGAGGCCTCGACAGCTTTCTGAGCAAGCCCTAAGGCCACCTGAACAGAAGAGAGGCGTCATGCTGTGGAGAGCAGCATCAACTAATCCTTACACAATGTCATGTTGTTGTAAGAATCTCGAATTCGACAAACGAGAGCCTCTGTTGCAGTCTCATGAAGCAAAAGTCTCATGAGCAATCACAACAGCTCCATAGCCTCCGCTATGTGGAGAGAAAGCTCGGGATCTTTCACGCTCGGTATTGCATTGTCTGTCTGGAGCCTTACAAGGGCAACTGAGCGAGCAGAATCTTGGTTAGTGAATAATTAGTAGCAACAGTATTTCTACTTCTAATGATATTGATATTACAATAATAGCAGTAATGGTATTATAATACAGTAATAGTCAGTGGTAGCTGCACTGTGATGCATCTCCAAGGCCCTGACCGGCGTCGAAGATCTCCCGCCCAGTTGGTCAAGTTGCTGAGCACTGCTGCGTAGAGCTTTAGGAGACCTGGGACAGAGGTCGGAGAGGACAAGTTCTTCGTAGTGAGTGGTGGCACAAGAATGACGAACAAGACTCAGTAGAAGTGTTGAGCTATAAACCAAGGTCTCAAAACAAACATAGATAGTTGTTTGCACGCTAGAAAGGAGACCTGGAACCTGCTGAAACTCTTGGCAAACAATAAATATCACTTTTAACCAAGGGGTTCAATCTGGAGCCTGATAGGACGTATCCTGCACACATAGCTGTGCGAAGTGCTCACCCCCAAGTTGCAGAAACTTTTAAGTGCGACAGCCTGAAGGAAGCAACCCCGAACTTGACAGCTAAAACCCCCAAACCGTTGAAGCCGGGTGGAGACTACACAATACAGCCAAAGAAAGTTCGCACCTGAAAAACATGCTTCAACACCAGAACAAAGAAGCGCCTTCATGGTCGTAAACACACCTGGGATTTGCTGAAACTTCTAAAAACAAGATCACATGTCAGACATGAACTTCAGGATCCCTAGAAAGCCTAGTGAGAAAAAAATTGCTGAGTTTTGGGAATTTGTTAGATGCTCACAAGAAAGGGAGCCATCTCCTCCCTCTCCCTACACCCCAAAACCCGGGGGTGGGGAGCCCACATCCGAAGCAACGATTTTGTCAAAAAGCGTAAACAGAAACAAAACCTCCCCCTCTCTCAAGGACACTCTGGGTGTACAGCCGGCCATTGGCATTTGGAAGGGCTTCCGCGACAGCACCTGCTTTTCCAATCTCAGTGGGCAGAGACGTCCGGTAGACTGAACTACATCCCTAGACCCTCCAACTACCCTCCATTCAGGCCTCTGCAACCATTATAAGGAGTCATATGAGCTCCCCCAATTAAGCGAACTAGGAGGGTCTTGGTACCTCACCCCATCTGGGCGGTCTACAGCCGGCTTGTGGGTGGCGCATGTTTGTGACAAGCCCGAGCTGCGAAGGAACAGAACCACCCATGGAGCCCAGCAATTAAGAATCAAAATTTATATCATATGTACCATAAGCTAAACTACTGTACTAGTATCCCCCTTCATAAACCTTATAGTAATCCCCAATATAATCCCTCATATCATATGACCCTTTCAAGGAGTTTAGATTATGGCTTATATAAGGGATCCTAATATCATCTAGGGTATATTCCATAATTTAGGGGTATTGGACTCTCTGGGCATACTTTGAAACCACCACTCGCGCATCACTTATAGAGCATCAAACCTCACGCAACAGCAGATTCCGAAAGTATCTGGAACCTTCTTTACTTACTGGTCGTTAAAACGGACTAGGGAATATGATCCCTACGTATCATATGTTCCCTTATTCTCTACTAACCTCCAGAAAGTTTAGCTGCCACCTTTTAACTTGAAGGGATTATGGTCCACCATGAGCAGAATTTGTGCCAGGAATATCCCAGTACACCACAGAGGCCTGGAGAGGCACCCAGCACTTCTCTGCGCAGGGTTTGCCTGGAACCTGCTTCAGCGCCTCTCAAAAAGCTTGCATGCTCAGCTGGAATCAGGGAGTTGCTGCTAGATGCTGTTGCGGCTCCTATGTTTTCAGGAGCGGCTCAAGCTGCAATTATGGAACGTTTGCGTAGCAACATTGTCAAGGGCTCTGTTGCAGCAGGGCTGATTCGAAGCTGGAAGCTGGTGAGGCGGCAGAACGCAAAGGTCATCTTTCGGATTTTACACGGAAGACCCAGGCCGCAGAGCAGGTGCTGGCGTTGTGTGAATACGTCTTGCTACGCTAGTATATCACAAGAATCCGCAGCTTTGTGAATTCCCAAGGCCTTGCGCCAGATGCAGCTGCAATATTCCAGAAGAGTGACTACCTGGGCACGAAGCTGTCCTGGAAGAGAGGACTTCTTGTCAGCCTCCTGCTCACAAGCCCTGCTACGCTTTGGCTAGCTTCGATGGACTATAACAGTGAAGCTCCCTGTCAACTCTGTACGTTTGACATCGCCTAGTCAAATAGTCAGACCAAGTGGCGCTGCCGATCTCCCATAACGGGCTTCCAGCTTTCAAGGCCTGGAGGAAACCGATGAGACAAGACAGAAGAACGCTACGTCATTGTCAGATCACGAATTAGACACATACCCAAGAGCAATGCGACACACCTACAATCTCACATAATCCGTTCACATACACTAAATCCAAGACGGCCTGGAAAGGGACGTGTACGCTTTACGCCCGGCACGAGCGTCAACTTCAATTCTAATCTCCTCAGCGGTCTTACCAGCGACACTGGGGATCCTATATCACATGATTATCATCGGGCCCGTCACTTAGAGGTTGGAGTAGCTAAAGCCCCCTCATTCCATACTCTAGCCTCGGACAGCTCAGCAAGCAGCCGGACCACCTGAGAACCATGCGCCGCGATCACTAAATAGGGCTTATAGGGATTATGAACGAATCCTGATAAAGATGACGGAAACTCCTCATTTCAAATTCCGTCTCCCAACAAAGGGGTAGGGCATAGGGGTCTAGGTATGGATATTAAAGCAAGTTGAAACCTCAGAGTTGATTTGGAATTCCTTGCCTGAACTCTCGGACAAAATGCTTAGCAGAGGAGTTTGCGTGTAGCATCCCAACGTGACTGATGTCTTGTGCATGAAGTCACCTGCAACCCAGCAACTTGAAAAATGATCAATCCCTTGGCTGGGACAGATTTAAGGTCCCTGTAGAGAGTACGTTTTAATGGCTGTATTCGGGACATAGGGACATTGTGCATAATAATTCAACTTTCTCCCAGGAGTATCCCAGGGTTTAGGAAGGCCCGCTTGGCATGGTTCAGCCAGTACGAACTTGTGGAAAAGACACCAGCCCAACAGCAAGTTCCACAACGGCCCCGCCTCCAAAGCTACTCAACCAACTATCGCCATCCTTGACTACTGGTTTCTTGTTGAAATACTATAAAGATGATCATTTTGAGTCTACATCGGGCGCAGGTATGATAAACATGTAAAATGTTGTTCAACCAGAACCCAGTGAATGAAAACCGGGGGCCGGGCCCGCACTTGGAAGTCCTGTAAACATGAAAGCCAAATGCGGACCAGGCTGTAGCTGCAGCCCGCAACTATCTCACTTTTCTGGACAATTACATATTGCCTTGCGGTCTTACGGTTCGGTGTGCTCCTCATAGTCACACAGCTTCTGTCTGACCAGTGCTGTAAATTTGTCCCGGCTCTCAGCATGTTACACAGACACGAATTCTCATTCACCGCTGCCCAGGTGGCTTGCCATCGTGCGGTCTCAATACTTCCCATTTCATCTTTGAAGTTATTTTTTGCGATCCCACACCCTAGTCTGCCAGTCTGTCTCCTCGGGCTGGGCAACGTCCGCTGGAGGTTGCAGTTGCAGCCTTAAGAGCAAACTGGGCTCAGAACAAAATGCTACGCAAAGTCTGACACTACACCACATCCATGCTAGCTGCTAGGAGGCTCCAAAATCCTGATGTGGTCTACTGCAATCCAGCCAAACCAGATGTCGTCAAATCCTTGTGGCTGCACGAAGCAATGCTTCAAAGTGCGAGCTGGACAACGCGTACAGATCTTCTGAAGCTTTGTCCGTGCCAGATTCCAAGTGCAGTTGGCAAACCCCAACCTACTGTTCTGCGACTACTGCCGGCATGCTACTGTTCTGCCTACCGGGGCCATTACTGTAGAAGCCTGAGAAATTACCAACATCATGGTTCCATTTTCCTGGTAAAGTCGTATAGGGTACCTCAAATAGGCCTCGAAATGATATAGGTAATTCTTTAGTCTAGAGCCAGTTTCCATTGAATTTTCATTTTTCCATCTGACTTGCATTGTGCAAGTGCTGCGGCTTCAGGTCTACGGGCCACAACTGCCCTCCTGGGGATCATAGGGGGACTGCTTGATGGATCCATTCCTTCATTCCTTACGAAAAAGATTGCAAAGTCTGTGCATGCTTCCTTTGCATCACCGGCTTGGTATTATTGGATTTGGGAATTTGTTTTGAGGTCACCCGCATTTATGGAAACTACCTGGTGCTCTTAGCAATCTCAAGACGTCCTTATCAGGCCTGGCACCTCTGCAGCAAGTACAAGAGAGGCAAACACGCTCCCATCGCCAACCCCGCAGCCCAGCGATGCTTCTGCAAAAAAGCGATACCAGCCCCAAAATGGAGAATGAAATGGGCAAGAACATGGAAAATTAAATGGACGCTGAATGTATATTTTGAGCTTATGATGGATTATGTCCAAGTCTGCGCAAAGGGTGACACTCTTCGTCATGAGCTGCCCAAGCGATGGCATCCGCAATGGCAATTTCCAAGAGCTTCACACTAAACTCGGTTTGCTGGTAAGCTCTGCGCTCGCTGGACTGCAACAAGAAGTTTGCGGACCGGCGGACCTTGCGGCACAGGGTCAGAGTTTTCGCTTCCCTAAGGTCGATAGGAAGGACCTCACGAGCCAAAGTATTCACGGAATGTGCGAAGCTCTGCAAGACCACATCATCTGGACGGACCGTTTCAACGAGTTACAAGCGAGTAATCTTCCATATGAAACGCCAAGTGAGTGGCCATGAGCAGGGGGAAGAGGCCGTGCGCCCTGGCTTCGACCCGTGTAGGAGTCATACCAGATGCTGCGGAGTACGGCTGATCTTCTACGCCATGGAGAAGCTCTGACATGTAGCAAAACCTGAATGCATGTGCAAGGACCGCTTTGCCTTCTGAAGCCTAAACCCTATATAACCCATGATAGTTGTTTCCATTTTCTTTTCCATTATCTCCATATAACCTCAACATAACCCCAATGTACTATAGTAGTTTCCATTTTCTTTTCCACTATCCCCATATAAGCCCAACATTATCCCAATGCCTAAACCTCCGAGTTTGCTTCAAGCAAACTGCCAGAGCAGCGTAGCTTGCAACGGGCTCTGCAACTCGCCGATGCTGTACGGTGTTGCCTCTCACTGCAGATGAAGAGGGATTATATAGGGGTATAGTATTGGGGTACAATATTAGGATAATGGAAGAGAAAATGGAAACAACTATAATAGGGTATATAATTGGGTATATATTGTGGTTATATTGGGATAGTGGAAATAAAATGGAAACTACGGGGATTATAGGAGGTGTGTCATTTAGGCTTACGATATGCTGGCTGACACAGCCACATACCCATGTGCCAAATACATTCACTGACCCATAGAAAGTGCAGCTCGAAGTCTTTCTTCAACGGAGACAAACTCAGCCCTGAATGCCCCGGAATGTGGGGTTTTCCAGAAAATCGCCATAGTAAGGATTATAATATCTTCGTTTGTTTTTTGGGGGGACTCCCTGTTTTTGGAACCCCAGGTAATCCTGAATGCCTGAATATCCTTGAATGCAGCAAAGCCTAAACCCTAAACCCCAAAACCCTAAAATCCTAAACCCTAAAATCCTAAACCCTAAAGTCCTAAACCCTAAAATCCTAAATCCTAACAACCTAAACCCTAAAACTCTGAATTGTGGAACCCTGCAGCTCAAAAGCCTGGGATGGCAAAAAGGTCTGCAACCAAGCAGCGAAGCCTGTTCAGGGCTATAGGGTTTTAAGGATGTTAAGGTTTAGGATTTTAAGGTTTAGGATTTTAAGGTCTAGGATTTTAAGGTTTAGGATTTTAGGGTTTGGGATTTGAGGGTATAGGGTTTTAGGGTACAGGGTTTTAGAATTATAGGGTTTAGGGTCAGAAACTATCAGACCAAGATTGGAGGAATCATGGACAAGAATATGGAAATTACTGTAAATAGGTTGTGTGTATATATACAGGGTTGTATACAGGAATGGAAAAGAAAATGGAAGCTGCTAGTCAAGCTTTACATGGGGTTTAGGGAACATGGAGAATCAAATGGACAAGAACATGAAAATGAGACGGAGGCTGGGTTCAAAAAAGGGTTTTTGGCAATCTACCATGCAGACGCCGGAATACCCCCAGGATCCAAGTAGCCCAGAGTAGGCACTATTTATCGACTTTGGGGGACTAATGAGCTAATCCTTTCTACCCTTAGATGCTTAGGGAGAAACTTTCCCAAACCCCTAAACCCTAAACCGTGGGTTATCCCTTGGCATGATACAGACAACTTCAGCCTTGCCAATGTTTCTGAAACCTACGGCTGTAAATGCGGGCCCTAGTATGGGCCCTTAATCCTGGGGTCCGTGTATATCTTTATATATTCTAAAAGCCTTAGAGGCCAAATTGAAGGGCCCATAGTTAGGACCCAGACGACTGGCAGGGGCCCATATCAGGGACCCATTCTTAGGACCTTAGATGAAGTTCGGGAAAGGGTTCGACGACTAGCTTGGCGGCGTCTGAAAAGCTACAATCATAGGTCCCTTTAAACGGGTATATAGAAACATGTAAGGGTGATATAATAAGATATGGATAATGGCAAAGAAAACCCAAACTACTATTTAGGGTTTAGGGTTGAGGGAGATTACATCAATGACGGCAAATAAAGCGGAAAAGAGCATCAAAATGGCATGGGAACTGGGGTCGTATAGGAGTTTATAAAGCAACCCCATGTTGCTTCAGACAATGAACTCTGAAACACCGAGGCCCTGAGAACGTGCCTTCATCACGCTCCTGGACCGTGGATGAGAGGTCCTGCTTTTGCGGGGACTGCTTTTGCAGGGAACACTGGCTCCATTTACAACACTAGTGGATGGTCGGGTCGAAGTCTCCCTTCACCCTTGCAATTCAGGACAGGCTGCCACATTCATTTCTCCTACATTTGCGCTTCAGCTTGTGCCCGCAGAGCACGCGACAATCTTGGGCGTGGTATGTAGGATTTTTTCAAATGGTCTCAAGGTTGCAAGTTCTGGACTCTCGGACGGCCTTTACCTGGAACGGCCCGCAAGACAAAAAAGGCAATGTGAGTTCACCTGATGAGAAGACCTGAGCAGCAATGACCCGTGCAGCTCAGGGCTAACTACACGTAGCCCTTGCATCAAATGGTCGCCTAACAGCCAACTTCTCTTCCAGATCGTGATGCCAATGCGCATGGAAAATCGTACTGGGATAGTTTGCTACGGCTGCAAAAACAAGGCGGACAGAAAAGTGGTTGATTCTGTGAAAACTCCACACTCTGACGTCAGCTACTGCGATGCAAAGAGTCCGCAATAATGAGGACCAGGTGGGAAAAGCTGAAGTCAACAGCCAGCTGGTACAGATCCTGGAAGCACGATGCAGCCAGTCGACTCAGCTGACGGAGCTGTCTGTCACTTCAAACTTCTGAGGAAGCTGTCATGCTGTGCGCAGACAAGTCCTGCAACTTCCAGATGGAGTCCTCAAGAGACTGCCTGCGCTAGGCTCACTGGCCCAATCAATCCACCAGAAGCAACCAACATGCCGCAATGCCGTTTGCTGCAGTCTTACGGAAAAGCCATTGCTAGAGTTCGGCTGGGCTTGGGCGCCAAAATTGAAAACTGGCATCTTCCGGCATGCGGCTGATGTAAGAAGCTGTTGTCAGTTCAGAGGCAGAGGGGGAAGAACCCATTCAAGCTGACCTCAAACCAAGATCTGTGCAAGGTAACTTGAACAACTTAGGTTTGTCGAGCCATCAGAGACTCGGTTTGATCTAAGTGATGCACGCTCAATCCATGACGTGGCACGACCTCTTCTGACGCGCAGCAGTCCGCCAGCGCTCCGAGATTTGCCTGTCTTCTTGAAGGGAAGGTAGCGTCATTGATGTGCGCATCTCAACGTTATTCGAGAGATCTTGCAAAATCCCACGCAAGTCAACAGATTCAGTCTACAAGAGTTTCTAAGTAACGGGCATAGCATGTACAAACATATTATCATCTGCACCTTGATATGGAACGGACGGTACACCTGAGGGCCGTCGAAAGCTCGCAGCCAGACAGTTGAGAAAGATACAGGAAGATTCATGCAACCCTCGGGCAGTATGTTATTACGATGACCACACAAAGGAGGGCTAGATAACAGGGGTATAAATGGAAAAGAAAATGGAAACGACCATTTCGGGTAAGCATCATGCTTCTCCTGCAAGAACCAGCAAGGGTAGTGAACAATACACAAAAAGAAGAAAGGTTTGATGCAACAACCTTGCATGATTATTTAAGAATGGTTCTCACTACAGACCTAGACCCTCCAATCTCCCTCTATTCTGGCCTATGTGCCTACTCTTAGGAAGCCTAAAAGCGCATTTACCGGTACTGGCAGGGTCTTGGGAGGAATTAGGGACCGCCACCAAGCATGATGCTACTCGTACCATTGAGCGGAGTAAGAGCATGTAAGTTAGCCAGTTAGCCGGCCCAAAGAGGGGTTTCGATAAATTGGGGCCCCTTAGTGGGAGCTCCTGCAATAGGAACTATGGGCTCTAGCATTTTGAGGTCTATATTTTGAGGTCTATATTGGTGTACCCGTATCTATGGGAACTACCATATAAGCTCATGAAAGGATGTATCTCCGCTCCGGTGGTAGAATCTAAGGCTCGCTCCTTTCCAGACCTTGTCTTGTCTGCCCTAGCCTAGCTACGGTAGCTGTCGTGACAGATGTGAAAGGACATGCTGAACACTACTGTAACCCATAATACCTTCATTACCGCAAGTTAGGGGCCCGGCAACCACAACAAAGCTTTGTAGGGAATAGGTTGGGATTGTCGTCCATAATAAGCTGAAGTCAGGCCAAGGAACATCCTCAGAGTACAATATCAGTTGATCCAGATTCTAGGCTTGCTGGAGTGTGACATCGTTGGGCCTCCGTGTATGCTAGCAATCTAGCATGCTGAATACTCCTACCTAAGCCCTTACAGCATGTAAAATAATGGCCTTTGGGGATATTCTGAGGGGTACTGGGCTATGATTTTACCTAGTTTTGGGGTCCAGGTACGAATCATGCCAGCACAACTGCATTTCAAAAGACCTCAACTGGTGCATCTTAGCCCCGACATCTGGAAAACCTGGCTCACCTTAGCTGCCTGTTTCCACCTGGAAATTACTACAGTATATAACAGGGTATATATTGGGGTTATAATATAGTAGGGAATAAGAGGATTCTATAAGGATGTTATTCCCATAGTCCCTACGAACAACCAATAAGAAAACATCTTGAATTTGCTGGCCTGTCAAGAATCAGAAGGTCCATCTCTCGCTGTAGTGGCAGCCTCGGGTGAAACGGCTCCCGGCTCTTTTTTGGGTCCCTCTAACTTTGGGGTCCATGTTCGGGTCTGCCATGTATGGAAACTACCAGATGCAGAAAATGAACCCATTCAAGTTCTGCAGGTTAGTGCTCGAAGATGGTGTTCTTCGCGGTTGCGCTACGCCATGCTGGTTCTAGCTACACCTTCCGCGGGTTTCCTGATCCCTCAGAAAATTTCGAGGACCTTAATCCTATTCCTGGCGCACACCTGTGAACAGACCCCTTTTTTTCAGCGCGCTGCTGGACGCGGGCGGCTGTGTCCAGGCGCGCCTGAATCACAGCGGCAAGCTTTGACCAATGTCCCTAAAATATTGAGATGTCAGCTTGTTCAGGCATTCTTGCAGGAGTTGATCTTCACGCTTCAGCTTCAAGGCGTGAAGGAAATCTTCCCCACATTGCTATCCCTGACAAACCCAAAAAACATCTGAGTGCAAAGCGCAGATGATGAGACTTTTCAAGCTGATTCGCGTTGTCTCCGCAGCTCTGAGGTGCCAACAGCCAACTGGTCAAGCAAGTCCTGCACTTGTTGGATTCAATGAAGGCAATGGCATGGCAAGAATGTTATCAGTCTTACCCAGAGTCAACTGGTGAGGACACAAGAAAGGAACATGTTGTTACTTCAGATGTACTGCCCGGCTGCAAACTGCAAGCACGCTGAGGTGAGAGCGCTTTGCCTACTGGACTGATGCAATCCGCAGCTCGCCACTTGATTCGCCACTATAGCAGTTTCCACTTCCTCCTCGATTCCCTTCATACTCCTACATTTATAATCCCCCTTAAGTAGATCGTATATGGCTTTGGGTGTATTATAATGAAGTCCCCCATATACCCCATATTCTATCTACTTAAGGGGGACTATAACCCATGCATGTTAAGTTCTATGGTGTGGCTAGCTACTGTAACTTCCAGAGAAGTCTTCACGTGGAATTCGAGGCTGCACCTTGCTTCCCGGCAAGCCCCGTTGAGCGGCCTGCGAATGCCCAGGGCAACATGTCCCATATGGGCTATTAGACCCTAAGATTCCCCAACTATTAGGACTCTACATTCCCTTTTAAGACTCTAAACTCCCCGACCGATTAGGACTCCAATGTAGAAGCCTAAAATTCCTGCGGAAGGATCTAATATAGGACCCTACAATTCCTTATTAGGACTCGAATAAGGGTAGATAAAAAGCCTTCAGGGTCTGATCATGCATTTTGGGTGGCTAGAAACGGCACTTCGAGGCCCACGGGACTGAGTAAGTGGGCTAGAGGGACCCTTGAGAGGAATATGTAGGAAGATATAAAAGGTTTAGGGTCAGGGGACTAGCAAGTGGGTCATGGATGGGCTTATAATTATGATACACATTCCGAATTGCCCAACGTAGTAAATGATCGAATGGAAGAGAAAATGGACAATAAAATTGACAACTCGGTTCATATAGGGATTCTTCCGGGTTTTGTATGAGTTCTGGGGTCAGCTGGCCTGCATCCGACTCTAGACACTTGACGGCATAGCTGCCCGTTCCATTTCCCAGTTGGATGACTAGTTGCGCTAGGTGGTGATTTATCTTTAAGCTTTTTCTTACTCGAATCAAGAATATCTTGGACAAAAAGTATCTCTTTGGGTGGCTATTCGAGACAAACTGCGGAATGATGTAACACCAGGAAAAGATTCCTATGGCTTCTGCATTGGCAACATGATCTGCTAGGACCATTACCAGCTCCACAGTGCTTCAGCTTTTCTCTCGCACATGCTACCTCTCAGCCTTTTCCACTTGATCTGCCCACTCACTCAGCTGCCCGGAGTTCACCACTGCCTGCCGTCAGCAAGTTGCAGACACAAATGAGCCGAACCAGCGCAGGTTACATGAGAGCCGGTCTTGTAAACATGGACCTCTTACACGCGCGCTCTGCATGGGCTTGACCCTGGCCTAATCAAAGGGAAAATGAATGAAAGGCATCGACACTGGCGCGTGTAGCCCTTTTACGGAAAAAGGTGCCCCAAAAGGCGCTCGCTCACTGCTCCCTCTGTCAGCCTTTTCGACTCAAGTTATATAGTGGTTTCCATTCCTTTTCCCTTTTCTCTTCCATTTGATTCTTTATTACCCTTAACACCCAAACCCTATACTCTAAATGGAGTTTCTATTTCCTTTCAAAGGTGGTCGGCTTTATGGTTCCCACATGCAAAAGAAATCGGAAATTCAAATGGAAACCCTAGGTTCCCTTAACATATCATCCACTAATATGGAAGATAGCATAGAACATGGAACACTCTGGTTATACATGGGCATCTACACGGGTCATAGGTCATAGGAGGATTTTGATTACCACTGTAAGAGCTCCATCACGGTTCAAAAGCACTGCATCCTGAGGAGGCACAGCAGTCCCATCTGTTTTGCAGAAGTTGCTCCTATTGTGCGACTGCCTGAAAAGACCGCATGCAAGGCCAAGCGCCACAACCAAGGGCCGAAGATTTCACCAACTTAGCTCTCTTGAGTCGAGCTTCCCCACCGCAGATCTCCACGACGACTCTCTTCCGGCCTCCCCAGCTTTGCTCACACACCCAAGGATCAATAATAGTAGTGAGAATAATAGCAATACAAATAGTAGTAGTAATAATAATAGTAATACAATAGTAATAACAATAGTAGTTATAACACTCAACTCGTAAGCAGTATGCCCTACCCCATCTTGCGCCTTGCAGAGACTCGCACCCTTCAGTAACTGCAGCCAGCGCCTGGGCCGTCCATTTCGATGGCGATCTGGGGTTGGGTTCTTTCCTAGCTGGAAGGCAAAGGATTGGATGTTAGAGACCAGCTGACGTCAATGCCCAAAAAAGACGGAAGGACAGGCGCGGTGTATGTTGGGGCCAACCAAAGTCATTCAATCCGTAAAGACCACCGTTCGTGCAGCCCAGCGTCTTCACCCTGAGCATCCCAAGCTTCTTGGATAAATTTAGGGGCCCTGTAAACAATTGAGCTGTCCTGCGATAGATTTAGGTGCCCCATAGAAATTCAATGGGCTATAGACAAAGTTGCTTAAGGATTATGGCCCAAGATAATCAACAGTGCCTTTTTTTCAAGGAATACCAGGCTTAAGCCCACGGCAGCCCCGCAAGCGGGCTCTACAACCAGGCGATGCTCGTCTGCCAGCCTGACCCGAGATCTCCACCAAGGGGACTTATTTACGGTAGGTTTGGCGGCCCCAGAATTGTTGTTGGGTGGCCTTGTAGGGTTCTCTAGGGATCCAGGAACTTACCTCTGTTATGCAGGACGGGCAAGAATCAACGTTAATTACAGCTTTAAAGCATCATCTCAAGGCATATGCGGATTCAAGTTGGGAAGGTCATTTCCAGCGGAATGGAATGTCTTGGGCCGGAGAACACCTGGACGAGATGTGAATCGGAAAGCAGGAAAACATCGTCAGTGCGCTGGGTGAATGGGCTGGGGAATGCAGCCATGGAAGTTTCCACAAAAACATTCACCCCAGCATAGACCCCAGTGTACCATAATCCTTCTTATGTGGCCTTGCACCTAATTTCGGAAAGCAGCCTATGGACCTATGGTCCTATGCGCGGCCCAGGACATTGATCAAGCCTAGTAGACGCTGCAAACCCTGTCAGGCATACCAGACAATGCAAGGGACTCTAAGAGCTTTATCAACTTACCTCTGGTTAGCAAGGAATGAAACAGTTGATCCCTAAAGTAGCCTTTATATAAAGCCCAATAATGTAGTAGTTGTTCCATGTTCTTTTCCATTCCTTCCTTCCCTAACCAGAGGTAAGTCAGGGCTGAGGACACACCCCTGCTGTGGTCCAGCCACCACGCCTCAAGCAGGCTCCCAGCGCCTGCTGAGCGGGTCAAGTCTGATAAAAAAGATTGACTTACCAACTTCACAGAGAGGGCTCCTTTGGCAGGTGACTAGGTGGGGATAGTTTCTAGTGCTTTTGCTTGCTGGTCCATCTTGCGATTGAACCATTCATGTAGACATTCCAGATTCCAGGCACATCATCAAGAGCGTATGTCCTCAGCTCATGCAGTCACATCGCAGGTTGGGCAGTGCAAGACTGCGTGCTGCGCACAAAGCCATTACGAACAGATCGTGGAATCAAATCAAAACCGTGCCCCCTCCGTCCTGGACATCGCTAAACACCTCTGAGGCGAACTGCGAACGCGGAAGCTGGCGGCACCGCTCAAAAACTGCCTGCAGCGACGCAAGCAAGAGTTGAGCAAGAAACGTCGGAGAGAGACTTTATGGCAGGGCCTGTTTGAGTCTGTGGAGATCGGTATGAGAGAAGCACGTGCAGCAAGCACAACCAATTCTGCAGGAGACGCAGCTATATGATCTCCACAAAGATGCTCATTTCCATGTTCTGTCAGAATCCAAATTCCCATAGCCCTGTTCGAACAGGAATGCCTTAAATTCAGAGCTCCTGCTGTAGGCCTCAGGAGAATTTTTTTCAGAACGGCAATGTGAGCACCTCGCTTGCACGGAGCGCACCGAGAGACTTGGCAATCCTTAGCATTGCATAGTTCTGCCAGTGTGTGATGATGCAAAAGGCCCACTAGAAGTACGTGGGCAACAAAACATGAATTTGCCAGCTGAGATGTCCAAAGCCCCTCTCAGCTTACGATTGGCAAAATGAGCAATGAAAAAGCGCCCCCACAGGAAAACATGTGCGAGCTGCCTGGCTGCATGCGTCGTCCCAATTGTTGTCACTCCTCTTGACCCTTACAGCGGGAGAGGTGCAGGCTCAGGACTGAAGAAAAAAGACCCTGTGCTTGGAGTTCCTTCTTTCACCTACTTCTAATTCAGGACGCTGACTGCGCCCTTAAATCATTCTTTGCTGGCTGTCGCTGACCTCTCCTTTGCAAAAAGCTTGAATCCTTTGATTTCTGGCCGCGTGGCGACGTGATGGCCGGCAGCGTCACCAGCTCGCCCTTCTCAAGGCTCCTTGACTGCTTC